TATCAGCCAAGATGCCGCTGGCCACCGGTGATGGGCCAAGCAAGAGACATGTGGCAATGCTTTACTGAAAATTTCAGAAACCTTGTTAGCTCAGCATTCGAGTGATGTGCTGTAGTTAGATAACTAAATATAATGCTTACACATGCCTGTAGGGAAGAGCCTATTAAGGCAAAGATCATGCCTTTTATCTGCACTGGAGAGACAACTGGGGTTGTGAGCCCTTGCTTGTGGGCCACTCAGAGGAAACGTGCAGCTTGTAAAACATTGCTGCAGGCCACATTGACACAGAGAGCAAGGAATGAGGTCCCACTCTACTTGCTTGGTATTTTGCCTATGGGACAGCAAAGGCTGGAACCCAGTAAACTAGAGACTAAACCCTGGTCTACATAGTCTGTACTAGATCTAATTTCTTCTGTTTGTCCAGCACTGTGGAAAGGCAGACCCCCACTTCTTTCCACAGCTTTTAGAAATCCTTCCTGATTTACTAGCAGTCCTTTCCAGCCGACCTGCCAAAATTCCAACAACAGCCACTCTGCATGTTCCCTCCAGCTGTGCGACTACGTGTGCTTGCCAAACCTGCGTGCAACCCAAGCTGAGCAAGCAGGAAGATAATGCACCCAAGAAGGAACACATCATTGTTGCAGAACCGTCCCATGGTAAATGCAGTAACACAAACCACAGCATGCAGAGCAAGTTGTCTCAGTCCCAGGACTTTTTCAGCAACAACATCTGTTTCTGCAGGAGAATATCTGCCAGCAGAGCTCTGGCTACCTCCTTACACTCGTGGCAGAAACACGGAAGAGGAACATGCCCGAGCAACACAGATAATCTGTAGCAAGCATCCTCTGCCATCATTCTGCAGAGACCTGTGCACATTGTGTATTTCTTTAGAGCTTAAGTTTGCGTCTTAAAAAACAAACACACACACAAACCTGGAAGCTGCTAATATTAAAGCTGAAAGGCACAGCTTCAGTATCTATGACTTTTATAGGTATATGGTTCTGCTCCCCCCCCCCCAAAGGGTATTGTTGAAATTAACACTACTAGAACATGACCCAGAATTCATCCAAACTGATATTGGGACATGAGACTCAAGTCAGGATGAGAAAGGATCTGTTTTGTAATACAGAAAACCGTGTGAACCTGGCATTTCCCCCTCTTCAAGGACAACTCTCTGTTTTTCTACCGTTGAAGGTTGGCAATGCATGCATGGACAACTCAGCCTTTCTTCCTCCTCTACAGGCTCAAACCTCCACTCCCTCTCCTTCCTGCACATATTCTACCTCATGCCAGGAAGTGGTGTTGCCAAGAGAAAGTGGACATGCTTTGGCACCCTCACAAGCAGGTTCTGGTCAGCAAAGAACCTGTGGCAATTTAAGCCCAAGCAGTTTAGCTGCCAGTTTAGCTAACTGTGCTCAATGGGAGTACCTATTAAACTACACCTTTTGGGCAGGTAAAAAGCTTTAGTGGCATACTTTAAGGAATTTGGGATTAAACCCAAACAGATAATTTTTGCTAGCTTAAACAATTGCTATTAAGAGGAGCCTGGGTCTGCTGACACAGCAGTAGCATCAGCCATTGAACAGACAGCTGCTTTGTTCCATTACTACTGCTGTCCATGGACACTTGCAGAACTTGGCTGCATGTGAGTTCCACAGGTGCTCAAACTAAGATTATATAAGGAAAGCAATGCACTAATGAACCAAAGCTCACTGAGCAGAAAGAGGTTCTGGTGGCTGCTGATGCACTCCTTCAGTCCCAAGGTGCCTGTCTCGCATGTTTCACTACCTCTTCAATGTTGCTCCCAGCTACCAAGAAGAGATAAATGCAGTCTTGGGGCAAAGCAGGGAAAGGCATAAGTTTTTGTTTCAGTGCTGAAGGCAGGATTCAATTACTTACACACAAACTTCTGCTGCCATTTGAGGTTAGCACATGAACCCAAAGACAGCTTTAGCCTCAATGAGGCAGGACTTCCAGACCTCTAACTGTGACCTTCTGGAACAGCAGCAGGTGGCCACACCACCATAGAATGGTTTAGTTTGGAAAGGACCTTAATGATCATCTAGTTCCAACCCCCCTGCCATGGGCAGGGACACCTACCATTAAACCAGATTGCCCAAGGCTCCATCCAGCCTGGCCTTAAACACCTCCAGAGATGGGGCATCCACAGCTTCTCTGGGCAACCTGTTCCAGTGTTTCACCAGCCTCAGAGTGAAAAATTTCTTCCTAATATCCAATCTAAATTTACCCTCTTCCAGTTTAAAACCATGCCCCCTCATCCTATCACTACATGCCCTAGTAAAAAGTCGCTGCCCAGCTCTCCTGTAGGCCCCCTTTAGGTACTGGAAGGCTGCTACAAGGTCTCCCCAGAGCCTTCTCTTCTCCAGGCTCAACAACCCCAACTCTCTCAGCCTGTCCTCATAGGAGAGGTGCTCCAGCCCTCGGATCATCTTTGTGGCCCTCCTCTGGACTCACTCCAGCAGGTCCATGTCCTTCTTATATTGGGGACTCCAGAGCTGGATGCAGTACTCCAGGTGGGGTCTCACCAGAGTGGAGTAGAGGGGCAGAATCACCTCCCTCCACCTGCTGGCCATGCTTCTTTTGATGCAGCCCAGGATGCAGTTGGCTTTCTGGGCTGAGTGCACATTGCCAGGTCATCTTGAGCTTCTCATTAACCAACACCCCCAGGTCCTTCTTAGGGCTGCTCTCAATCCTTTCTCTGCTCAGACTTTATTAGTGCTTGGGATTGCCCCGACCCATGTGCAGGACCTTGGCCTTCTTCATGAGGTCTGCACAGGACCACCTCTCAATCTCAAAAGACACTTTCTTTCACCCCTACCCTCATACTTCGGTATCTATTTTGAAGTATGGCCGTTTAAGGGCTGATGCAAGCATGTTAAGGGGTTGCACATTACTGCAAGGCAGCAGCTAGTAGTCCAGTTTCCTACCCCTGGAGCTCACCCCCATGCATTAGGCAACACACCTGCATGTTAAAAAAAACAGCTGATGGACTTACATGACCTAGTCCTTTTAAACAGTTGCTTTATCCTACTGCTGGGAGAAACACAGTAGAGTTACTTTTTTCCTCCTTTCCTCAGTACTGCTTGTCTAACCCAGGCAGAATAACCATTCTCGTACCAGGCAGTTCCAATGCAAGCTGGCGACACTGTTTCAACATTAAAATAAAGTAATTTATTTTCATTTCAAACAAGTTTGTAAGAACATTAAGCAGAAACAAAGTAATAAAAGACAACATGCACATAAAACATGCTCAGCATCACTGCAAGAAAACACGGTTTAATAAAAATTGTTCTGGAACAAAAGTTCACCTCCTTTGCAGTGAAAGTTTAACTATGGCATACAACCCTTGTGCAGACATTTGAAGACAGGGTTGCAGTAAAAATTGTGCTCTAACAGCAGTAAAAACTCTACCACAGAAGTATTTATGCTTTTACCATCTCATTTACTCTTGCCAGCTCATGCCATTTTGTGTTCTTGGGCAGTAGCAGACCAGACTCTGCAATTCCACATCTTGTAAAAAAAAAAAAAAAACCAAAAACGTTTCACATAGGTTGCAGCAGACTTCCAGTTTCTCCATACTGGAAAAGATGATTGTTATTTAAAAAACAACAACAAAAAAGAAACTGAAAATTTTAACTGGCATATTCCTCATTTTGTCTAACTAGGTTTCTCTAAACTTCTCACCTCCCCCAGAGCTTGTGTGCTTATGTCTGATGAGGCAGTCAGTGCCCTTTTCAGCAGAATAATACAGAAAAGATCCAATAAAGCCCTGGGGAAGTGATAAAAATCCTACCAGTTTACACTCTTAAAACTGTGATTAGACAAGAGAATGGGGAACCATCCTGCTCTGGCCCCATGGATGACAACTCCACTGGGACCCAATAGGATTCCCTGCCCCCAACACCCAGATTCCATAGTAAGTGAAACTAAAAATCACCTTTAAAATAACCGAGTCCTTTACCTAGCTGTCCACCTCTACCCGAGAGAAAGCTGCACTGTAGTGGTGCTGTGTTTGTGAAGTGCTAGGGGACCATCATGTTGGGATAAGCAGACTGTTCTCACCACTCCAAAGATGACTACACACCGCCACTCCTCACGCTTTCAACGACGGCACTTTGGGCTGCCCTCTGCTGCAGTTTGCAGGTTGGGACAAGCCAACAGTCTCTCAGCAGTGAGATGTAGAAAGGCAAGATCTAAACCGGGTGGAGACAGTCCCAGAGACACCATCCTGAATGAGCTGACAGGCACAAGTAAGTTGCAGCTTTGGAAACCAAAGTTTCCACATGAGAAACTCTATACCCCACTTCTCTCCTCTGCTCCTCCCCTCCTCTCAGCTGCTCCATGCACAGAGGGGCAGCAGGCAGGGGGTAGGCAGGTGCTGACCCCTCCAGGAAGAGTTACTGAAAGTAACTGGATCAAGTAATCTGAAATCAGATGATCTCATGTAGCTTTTCGGTGAGGGAGAGGAGTATGCAGATGAAGAACCTATTAGCAGTTAGCTGACTGAGGTAGGAACAGAAGTAGGCAAGACAGCAGGAAAGATTCTGGGCTACAACAGGGTATTTCTAGAAGAAATATGCTCGAGTACAGGGTTTTCCTCTCCAGCAAAGCTCTGCTGCAAGACACACAGCACAGAGATCAGTTATCACCTGCTAAAGAGGCAGCAGAGGAAGGTGAGACTTGGACAACAAACACGGACTTTTACCACCTCTGCTGCTCCTGGCTGTGGCATTGCACATTCCCCTCCATGAGTGAGGCTTCATCTATCCACACACAAGACACCCTTGGCCAAGGGTTAGCCATGAACAGACAGGTACCTTTAAACAGAAAACTAGCCCAAAGCAGCAGGGTGCTGAGCCCCACCAATGGTTAAAACAGGAGGAGGGGCAAGAGAAAGGAATAGAAACTGGATCCCGGAGTCAAGACCCTAGAAACCCCATGAGAGAAGATGGGAGAATAGAGGAAAAAATACTTAAGACCTAAGACTCATAAGCACTCTGGGTGCCCAGGGGATGCCAAGAGGCCTGGTACTGATGCCGTACAGGAGAGCTCGAGAATGGTGCGACACTGTCAGAGGTGCTCTGGAGGTCATAGGTGTCTTCTGACTCCAGGTTGACATAATCCGTATCAGAAGGGTAGCCATGATAGAAGTTCATCTGCTGGCTTAATAAACCCATGGCTTGCTGGGTATTGCAGCTTGTTCCACCTTTTCCAAAGAGCCCCTCATCCTCCACAGCCATGAACGAGTACAGGTTCTGCCCGTTCCCGTAAGTCTGGCCACTGCTGTAAGCCTGGTGCACGTTGGTCACAGTGTGAAGGTTTCTGCTGGCACAGACAGGGAAGCCCTGGTGAAATGTGGGGGTTATATCCAGGTACGCAGCCTGATGAAACCCATTCTAGGAGAGACAGAGAAGACTGTTCAGTAATGCAGTGTACCACACCAATTGTGCCCATTCTTTTGGATAGGTCCTCCTTTCTCCCCCACCCCCTCCCCTGAGTCAAACAATAGTGTCTTTTTCATACTCATTGTCCTCACTATAGACTAATAATAGCAGAGATGACAAGATCTTAAATTAGTAATCTCCAACTCAATATTTCTGGGAGCACCATGCTCGGAAGGAAAAACAACATGAGTAGCCTTGCTGGCCCTCTTTGGCTGCTTTCTTTTCTATCTAGTCTCAGCTGGGAGATAAGTGGGCTGGAAATGAAGTGCTTTCAGTGCCAGGACAGGCTTAAAATAGATGCCACTGCAAGCCCTATTACAAGAAATACAGCTGGCTTGGTAATATCGAGTCCTGTGCATTGTTCGAAATAACAGGCTGGACATGATGCACTTGTCCCAACAGACTGGAAGAACCATGACTGGTGGTGATGGAGGAATTCTCTCACCTGTGGTAGATACACTCCTTTTTCTACCCACTGGCTCTCCTTCTGGCAACGCTTAAATTTCATCCGTTGATTCTGAAACCATGTTTTCACCTAGAAGTGGTGAGGAAAGGACATAGGGGCTTAGAAATTCATTCTCAGAGCTTACCACACATCCTCAAGATATTTTGCCTTCTCTGCAATCCAGTTACTGCTTGGCTTCTAATATGGTACATAATTTCAGCAGCTAACAATATGCAGCAGACCCAGGTAGCCATAGAATCAGAGCTGAGACTTGGAAGACTAACACTTGCTCCTCAGATCACCATGGGATCTTTCAGGACATCAAAACCCCTACCCAAAAGACAGGCCAAGACAACCGTGGAAATGCAGCTCGTAGAGCAGCATCATCTCACTGCTGCTGCCAAGATCAGTGCTGACTCAGGAGTGAGTCATTCCTTCAGTTAGACATGAATAGCTGGTGGGGCAAAGACCCTCTCTCTAGGGAGAGACCCAGGTGCCACTCTGACTAAGAAAGGCTACTTGCATAGCAATGCCAGTCAGTATCTGGCTTTTCATATTCAGAGACAACACATGTCCACACAGAACAGTAAGCTGACTCTGCATAGCCCTGCTCTGTACACGCTTTCAAACACCTGCACGGAGTGGGTGCTGGAACCAAACATAAGGGGAAGACTGAGTCATAAGTTTTCACACCCTCTGCTCTCTCACGTAAGCAACGGCATAAACAAGGCCATGAAAGAAACTCGTCTCTGAGGTCTAAGAAAAAACACCAAAAAAATCCCTGCTAGCAAGACCAGTTCACACCAGGGGTACGACTCAGCTGCTCAGAGTAAGATGTTCACCTGCTTGTAGGTGAGCCCCAGGGCAGCAGCCAGCTCCCGGATCTGCTGGGGGCTGAGGTACTTCTGGCTCTGAAACCGCTGGTGCAGGATTTGCAGCTGCTCCTGGGAGAAGGCTGTGCGGCTCTTGGCCTTCTTCACCACACCCTCACCTTCCTCCTTGACCTTCTGGAAAGAGGGATGAGGAGATGGGCAGTCTGCGGTGGGGCTAGTGGCAGAGTCGGGGGTGTACTGGATGAGTGTCCCAGAGCTGGAGGAAGCCGGAGAGACATCTGATAAGAAAAGAAAAAACTGGGGTGAGCAGGGTCGGGTGGAGAAGTCCCAAAGACTTCGGAGTTCAGCTTCTCGGGCGAATTTAAGACCGCGGCTGCCCTGGAAACTTGCAGGGGCGCCCCAGGCAACGGAGCGCGGAGAAGTGGGAACAGGCGCTTCCCGGGAGAGCGGAACCCAGACCCCTCTCTGCTCTCACCTCCACCCCCTCCCTTCTGGACA